TGTGGATAGGGCCGGCCCCGTGGCTTAGCGGTTAAGTGCGTGCGCTCCGCTGCCGGCGGCCCGGGTTCGGATTCCGGGTGCGCACCGAGGCACCGCTCCTCCAGCCATGCTGAGGCCGCGTCCCACATACAGCAACTAGAAGGATGTGCAGCTATGACAGACAACTATGTACTGGGGCTTTGGGGGAAAAATAAATAAAATAAAATCTTTAAAATGTGGATAATACGTAAACCTGCAGAGCTATTGGAAAGAGTGAAGATAATAAACAGAGTGGCCTCCTTTGCTTGGGGAAAGTCCCAGTTTATGCCTAGTGTCCCAGCACAATTATTAACTTTCACTCTCAGAAGTGTCCTAGTTTGGACAAATAATAATGTGGCTGCCCTACATATAAATTACCAAACATAACATCTGACACAGAGTGGGCTCACAGTCAATGTGGCAGTTATTTTTATTCTAGGATTGTTCATGCATTTTAACAACAACAAAAAAATACCTCTAATTTGTCTCCATCATAAACCCAGGGATAGACTCTTTCTTCTTAAGAGAGTGGATGTTGATCCTGGATTTTGTTCTCACTAGGACTATAAACTACTTTGGCAGAAGTGACCGCGGCCCGAGAGAGTTTGTGTACTGTTAAACATCTCACGAGCTACAGGAACACTGGAGAAACTCTCTTCTAGGTGCCTGGAACAGCGCTGGGTACTTCCTACTGTTAAAAGAACTGAGGTAAGTGCGCTTGCCCTTGAGCTGGACTACTCTGCTCGAATTAGGCAACTTGGTTAACCTCTTTAGTTTTCTACTTCTTTAAACCAACTCTACAAAAATGTTTATATGAACATCTTGAGATTTTTCTTCAGCCTTTCTCAGTGTCTTTGAGGTATACTGGTGACACAAATAGGGATCAATAAGTACTGCTCTGCAGCAGATCGGAGGTATTTTCAATCCTCACTTGCACATGACTTCTCTTTGCCCCCCACAGCTAACCCCATACTAACCAGCATTTGTATGTTGGACAGAAATATTGTCCTTATCATCACAACTTAACTCACTACCACATGTCTGAAAAATGCCACATCTAATTCTCCCAAATGATGCAAGTTTTTCTAAAGTAACATTAGACATTTTACAGCGCACCCTTCCAAAACAAGCAAAGGACTTGTTCTCTTCCCCAGAGCAGTTTGTCAATGGAATTCTTGTTATCTGAAAAAGTTAACAGGCATTCAAAAGTTTCCCTCTACGGGGTTACAAGATTTGCCAGATATTGTAGGAAAGATGCAAACTGCCCTGGGAAGATCAAGACGTTGAATGGATCCTGAGTGTACTTTCCTTCCTTGGGCCCTGTGTCCATTGGACATCATGGGGTGAACAGAAACATGAGGAATGCCAGTCAGAGGTTTCAGATGGGCGAGAGAGCCTACACACTAGCTCTACACATCAGTATAAAGCCAGCCCTCCTTTCCCATGAAATAGCTTGCAACTATCTGCTCTAAACTTTTCTGTAGGAAATCTGAAAGGCCAGGGTGACTTTCTGCCACCGAGAATATTCCCAGGCCATCTCCCATGCTGCTGGAAGGTATGCACTTGGGGAAGGTAGAAATATTCTAATAGTAGCTGAGGTGGCAAAAGGGGTAAAGTTAAAAAGGCAATCCAGAAAAAAAAGTGGCTCAAAGCAAGCAACTGGTTTTGGCATATATTCATGCAGTTCCCTTCTCTAGGGGTGTAGTGAGTGTTGACCACTCATAGAATAAATCCACTGAGGATGTCACTGCTAAAAGAAAAAATGGTCTAAGTCTGATTTTAAGTGCGTTTAGAAGAGAGGGGAGCATTGGAATCCATTAATATTATTTTAACATTTATTGAGCATATATAATGTGCTAACTACTTTATATCTTAATACTTCATTTACTCCTGTGAAGTACTCATTTTTTTGCCTCCATTTTACAGATGAGAAAACTGAGTCAGAGAGTAGTTAAGTGTCCAAGGCCACACAAGTGCAAGCGCTAGAGATCTGAACTAACCCCATACGGTCCTGCAACTTGTGTGTTCTAGGTGAGGGCATGCCAGATTGCGGGGGCTGACATACGTATGGGCATGGAGAGCAAGTTAGTAAAATGCACAGGAGGGTGAGCAGATTAAATATAGCTAGAACAGAAAAACAACAGGAGAGGATGAAGAGCTCAAAGAGGGTCCTGGATGGCAGTCACAGACACTCAGGGGCAAGAAGGAGCTATGGTGTAGTCTTTGAAATGCTGGCAGAAGCCTCTCCAGGCTGCTTTATGTCAGGCAGATCGTCAGGAGACCACGAGTATTCCAGGTTAGACTGAGAAGGGCCTGTGGTGGCCATGGCCTGACAGCAGCTGTGAGAATCACTGAATGGCCGGGGTAGGCCTGGACAAGAGTGGGGAATGAGCAACAGGACGGGTGTCCAGGGAGATGAGGAAAGCCTCCACAGTCGGGCCCACGTACACATTTTATTTCCAGACATCAAGGCCATTTTAATTCCCAACCCCATTAAAACGAAGGGCAGCCTGACAGAGTGGGCATGCCAATGAAGAAGAGAGTGTCTAAATGAACACTGAATAAAAAGCTAATACATCTGCCCAGGCAATGACTGATTTAATTGACTTGTTAATTCTTCAGAGGAGACAAATAAACACAAAATCACATTTTTCCTCACAATGTGCCATTTAAAAAAAACAAATGGAAACCTGAACCTGGAAATGCTCATGGAATCATCTTTCCTCTTACCACCACCTTGCAAAGCAGTCAGCCATAGTTATAGAGTTTGTTTTATTGCTTTTTAATTGTTGCACTTTTATAAATAAGCACTAGTATATAATTAGGGGCCTGATTCTCCATTCAGGCAGGTGGGTGGGCACCCTCGCCTCTCAAACCTGTAATGCTGGGCCAATTAGTGGCTTGCCCCGTGGTGCATCCTCCCAGCCAGGTTACGCTGAGGAGGTTGAAGCCCTAAGGCTTCTGTTTTCTTCTTTGCCTTCCACACAAATTCCCGTCTCTCTTTGCTACTGAAAATATGTAAAACTGAGGGCTATGCTAGATTATAAGCAGGTTAGTGTTGCAACAAACTTAACCCTAAGCACAAAGTATATTTCCTCTTCCTCTTTCAAGAAAAGACTGAAAAACATTCTGGCCCCCAAAGGAACATTAGATAATCACCAAGTTCACTCTTCTGCAATAAAGAAATTAAGATAGAGGACAGGTGTCATATTCACCCTTGTAGTCCCATACCCTAGCACACAGTAGGTGTTGAATAAATATTTGCTGAAGGAACTGAAAGAATTCAAAATTGTGCCCCAGATACTCACAAAGTAGAAATGAAGAGTAATTTTGAACCATTTTCTGATGTGAGTGTAGGGAGAGTGGAGAGAGTTTAGGAAGGGTGGAAAGAATATATACTTTGTCTAGAGTAATGTGAAAATAGACAAAGGGAGAAAGATTTTAAAAGAAATCTTACTGGCCTCAGTATTGTCACAACATAATTTTTTATCTAATGATGCAATGACAAAAACTGATGGAGGAAAATAATCTGGTCTTGGAGTACTCAGAATGATGACTCAAAACCACATACTGATGTCAAACTCACAGACAGTCTTTCTAGTTATTGGAAAACTCCTCCATAAAGAACCCCGTAATGTCAGACTCTTTTCATTAATCAAAGGGTGGATAGACAAAGGAAGATTCATCCTTTGAGTATGAAGTATTACACAAATAACGAATCCAAAATAAATGAATTATGACTATAACAAATAAAGGAATGCTGTTTGGGTGACAGTATTACTCCCAAATGGCTTCCCATTTGTAGAAAAACAGCTTCAGAAAAGCCCCAGAGTGTATACAGTGGTGCAAAATGACCTGGAAAAAATGGTTTCTATGGATATCATCCAGAGATGCATATCCCTGAATACCTTAAGCTGAAGGTACTTGAGCTCTTTTTTCAGGCAATTACGGCACAAGTTCTCCAGCCCAGGTTTTGTTTACATAAGAACAATCTTGGCCACAGGTCATTTGTGTAGGAGATAATTAATCTCCAGCTCCTTCAGCACAGGTAGGTTAATTAGTATGCACGTAATACATCAAAATTTTTCCTGGAAATTTTTTAAAAATTTCAAACAATTAAGGATCTGTAATACCTGCCAGTCTTTTATCCAAAGCAAGTACAAAGGCTGTTGGTAAAATAGAGAAGACTTTGTTTTTAAAGTGTTCAGAAAATACAAGGCATCACTGGTTACCTGAAGGCCTCATTTTAATTTGATTCCACATTCATGATGACTTAGAGGTTGTCTTTTCGAAATATCTTATTGCTAAAATCTTTAAGTAGGTCAGAAATGGAACTTCAGAAGCCATAACATTCCGATATCCTAATAAATGATGAGGGTCAGAACCTCACTTGTTTACATTTCAAAAAAGCACATTATTTGGACTATAACAAACAGCAAGATTTTAAAAAATTCAAATACTATTAAACAGCTTTCTGAACATCATGCACACACACACAAGGGAGAGATCAAATAAATCTGCAAATGCCTCTATATACAAAAAAGATGAGTCTTAGGTTCTGGAATATTAAGGACCTTTTTTCTTTAGACAATACCCTAATAAAACAATTATAAAGTATTCTGAAACCCTGCCACACCCCTTTGATTAAACCACACTTCACAAAATATTTACATAAAGCCTGAACAAATCAAATAAACATCGAGGCAGGAAATGCAGCCAGGAATGCCCCATCCTGTGCTCTGCCAAAAGCTGAAGGGCCATCTCACTTGAAAATTTAATCAAACAAAATCTACTTTAATTCCATTGCAGCCTTTGCACTTAAGGAAAGCTAGTTCAGTCTCTGACATTTTGATTTTCATAGCAGATGGAAGCAAAAAAACTTCCTCAGCTCATAAGCGTAGGCGTCCAGTTGAGATTTTATTTCTCGAACCTTACGCAACATCCAGCAAACAAACAAACAAAGGTTATTTTCTGTTACTCACTATTACTCCAGGATTTCAGTAAATATTTGATACTGATCTCAAAGAAGCCGGAATCCTGCTGGCTGGCCATGTCGGCTGCATACAAAGAGGCTCCTCCGACTGGACTGGGAGCCGCTGGAGGAGCAGGTACCGGGCGTGGAGATGCGCCTGGCACAGGTTAGTGATGTAAGCGGGATCAGGAGCGGAGAGGAAGGCTCTGCAGATCTACCTCTGGCGCTGGCAGGGAGTCCTCATTTAAAGGACACCAGGAGCGGGAGAGAGATGCTCGGCCGCTCCTCCTCCTCCGGGTCCAGGACTTGCTTCTTATTTGCTGAGTGCTGATCTCCCTGCAGCCCTCAGAGGCGGCGGCCGCGACTGCTTTCATTTCTGGGCTGCCATAACCAGAAACGCCCGCTGCCGGCCGCCCACAGGCTCTGCTCCAGCCAGGTACCGTACCAAAGAAGTCCCCACCTGAACTGCGACCCGTTTTCCCCTGGGAGGGAGGGTTTCTTGGCGTGCCTCCCTGACACGGTGCAGACAGCCTCCCTGCCCACACGGCTCTCCCCAAGGCAGCCGCAGGGCTGAGGGATGGGCTGGGAGCGCCGCCCCCGCCCCTGCCCACAGTCTCAACCTGAGCCACCACTCAAGCCCTGACTCAGCTGGAGGAGGAATTTCCCAGCTTCTGTGGATCCTCTCTCTTCAGCAATGCTTCCAGTGAGCAGCCCGCGTGTGCACTGGCTGCTACTTCCCCTTGTGTCTGTCTCTGAAATATACACAACTGCATGGCGCTGCAGCAAGCAGAGCTGCACCCCTGGATCTGTTGCAGTGACGTTTTTTAAAAGCCCCATCCGTCAGCCTTGTTGCAGTAGGAAAGCTCAATAACAACAAGACATTTGCCTGGGCTTTTTCTTCCCCTTCTTTCATGGGCACAGTGGAATCTGCACTTTGTGCTTCTCCCTCCTAGAAATGCTGTCATCTCCCCAGCCCTAACGTGTGCATCTGAAGGGGACGGTACAAACTGCTTAGCTGGCTTGTTTGCGGAATGGCAGGCTTCACAATGGATCTGTTTCTCAAACCTTTCATTTCTAAGAAGCACCGAGCCCAATAAAGGCTATTTTATTTGTATTAAAAGGATAAAAAACAAAAGCATTAGATTCCTTGTTGTACAATGGCTTTTTATTTCATGAAATCTTGGTATCAGGTGTCCTGATTTTGGTTAGCTTGTTTCATGTTATCATTTAGCTTAACTAGGGGATTAAATAAGACTATTTTTATTTTAATTTTGACAGGCTACATTTGAGTAGGTGGGATTTGGCCAACCTTCTCATAAATCATGGAATCCTTCCCCTTTCCCAGTACATTTATGGCTAATGTTTTCCAAAGGAATTAATAAACCATATTAATAACTATTTAACATAAAAAATATTGGGCAATCCCCTCCCCCCAATCAACACACAAATAGGACTTCTCATACTAACAGTTCATTTGACAAATGGAAGGGAAAGAGTACAATATACTTTTATTTTAAGACGAAGAATTTTAAAAATTCAACACTGAAGAGAACTTTTACGACTATGTCCTAAAATGCCCTAAGATGCTATCAATATAATGAGCTTTTCAAACTCTTTATACTTACACAAAAGGCAAGCACTCCATCACTAAGATTTCCAACTCCACTCATGGCACTTTATTCTCATGAAGTCTCTTATCAGATTGACTTCTTTTTCATATACATGCATATTAGACTTGATGAGCTAATTTTGTTTTGCCACCTGTACTTTGAATATACATAGATTCCAGGTGAACTAGGACTCAAAAGGTTGGACCTCGAAACAGCTATTATGTCTGAAAACAAAAACTAATATCCATGCCCACCTTTCCGGTGCCTCCTCCACTGCAGGTGGCAATGAATGAAGAGGGAGGCTGCATGGTGCCTAGAAGTTCATGAGCACAAAGACTCTCAAGACAGGCCCCAGATTCCTACCTGGCTCCAGACTTCACTAGGTATGACACCTAAGGCAAGCTATTCACCTCACTAAGTCTTAGTTTCCTCATCTGTAAGTGGAGATGATAGTGGTACTACCTCATTCAGTTGTTGGAAAGATTAAATGACATTATGAATGAAAGTGCTTAGCATAGTATCTTGTATATAGTAAACAATTAAATTTTAGCTACATTGATATTTATTATGAACCCTTAGGGACTCCAGAATAGAACTCTTTAATTTAAGTTAAATACATTTTTGTACCATTTATGATTTAGAGGTCTATCACTTTTGAACACCAATGGTAACTATTTGGGGATAGCAAGGTGGAGACATTTAAAACAGCTGCAATAAGCAAACATGCTAGTCTATCTCGTTACTCAAGCATACTGAGATTCTCTGTTGAATTTACAAAAGAGATCTTAACTGGCTTTTAAAAGTTTTCAATCCTACTATAAACATATTAATTTGCTGAGAATGCCACTCTTGTATATATTTCAAGAGGAAACTATCATAAAATTTTAAATGCTGTTTAGAAAAGACTGTTTTTAATGGCATCTAGTTTTCCCTGTAAAGAATCAGCAACTAAGAGCCCAGTTTCTTTCCGTTAGAACCTGAAATCTTGTCCAGTATATGCTTTTTTCCCATTCAAACACCTTTAAAGAGAGCATATATTGTAAAAGAACAGAAAAGGCCTTTTGTTTTGTTGAAAGGTCTGCAAATCAAATAGAGTGACACCTGCTGCAAGCTGGGAGAAAACATGTATCCTTTTGTCTCCTCTCTCTCTCTGGGGGGGCTTCTGAAAAAATGCTGTCAGAACAGGCACCTGGACAGAGGTACTTAAAATACAAAATAAAATCTGAATTCATCCCTGGCTTGTTATGAGACTTTAAGCTGTGGTTTAAGATGACCTAAAACTATTTCAGCTTTCATATCTGTAAAAACGACGGACCTTTCCTTAAAAATCTTAGGAGAACATACAATTCAACTTTAAGCAAGGAATTAGGTATAGATGTTGGAGGCTGAAAGAAAAGTTGCAGTAACACAGGAAAAGTGGGAGGCCTCAGGAAATGGTATCAGTGAGTGGAAAAAAGTGAGAAAGTGACCTGAGACAAGTGACAACAATTAATCACACTGTCTGCATTTATTGAGCATTAATATTGTGCTAAAAATACCTATTTCATCATATTTAATCCTTATCCCAAACCTGCTAGGTACTATTAATAGCGCCATTTTACAGAGAAGAAAATGGAGGCTTAAAGAGGCATAAAATAAGGTCAAAGTCTTATAGCTGGTAAAATTTAGGTCTAGCAAAGTTTAGAACTTCAGTTATTTATTCTAGCTTTTTTTTTTTTTTTTTTTTAAATCACAAGCAAGGTGAGAATCATGGTTACCAACTTCCTTAGCAAGAATTTGGGAAGAGATGCTAAGACCCTCCTTATCACTAACAGAAGTGCTTCAGGCCCAATGGCTCTCCAGGACTACTCACTGCCTTCCTTTCTGGCTTTAGCCTGGGGGATGAATTGTTCCCTGGGGGTTGGAGCCTCTCTGCAAAGGAACCTGAAGAAGAATGCCATTGTCTTTCACTTTAATTTGATTTGTTGTACAGGTTGTGGTCTGTACAAGGACGCGGGACCTGGGGTGGGGGTGGGGCAAGTGAAGGTGGAAGTCTAGTTTAACTCCACTCTTCAAGCTGTAAAGCGGTGTGTCTACCCTGGCATGGTGCGGCATGCGCCCAATACTCAATCCACAGGAAGGGGTGCCTATTTGTGATCAACATACCTAATGGGTAGTGGGAGCCTGGGGTGGTGCAGTAGGAATTAAGAAAACAGAGTGTTTCAAGAAGGCAGAGGCCAAGTGGTCACCTATGTCCTGGGTGGCTGAGTGGCAGAATGGAATGAGGGTGGTAAAGGGTGCATGGATTGTATCTTAAAACCTATGGCATTTACCCACACCCTACGTGGATTCCCATTATAACCATCTGTCTTATTTCTCCATCCAGAAGAGCTGTGTGTCACTCAGTTGTGTATCCCCCACAGCTCCTAGCACACAGTAAGTCCTCATGCAAAAAACGCATATGGAGTGAACCAGTGAATGATAAATAGACTTGTCATGCATGCCTAATGCTATCTGTTGCCTATGAAAAAAATGTGCAACAGTAATGCAATCAGTTTGTGTTTTACTTCATATTTAATTTTCCCTTTCCTAGCATTTTTGACAATTTTTTTAGTGTTCAAAAAAAATGTGAAAACAAAGCTAGGCAAACGATCTGGATGTTTGCCAACATCCAGAGCCATTACCTAATGATTTTAAAGCATCTGATTGAGTTGATTGGGTTAGGATTGGAATCCTCCCCCTTTCCCTGTGGATGGATGCACGTGGGTACACACGTGTAATTATTGTCACAGAGTGACATGTACATTCATGCACAGAATGTATTAGGCGGAAGAGAAATGTTTCACTAACATCCTGAGGAAACAAAGGAAAACCACTTAATGTGAGATAAAAATTGTCTTATCAATTTTTGATCAGTAGTTTCTAATTCCAAAAAAGCACTAAATACATTATATTTCTACCATTATACGTCGTTTCTTAATAAGAACTGTTCCAAATCAAATTAGGCATCGCCTGGATTGAGTTAGAAAGACAGCAGATGAGATCAATGGTAACAATTACGGAGAAAGGGTTTTGTTTTTCTTTAAGCAGTAGAATAAGAGGCCTTTTAGAGATAACCCAAGGAACAGAGTGTTGAGATAAATCAAAAACTTCTCTTTTGATCTATTTTAGACACATAATTTAGGCTGATCTATCCCGCGCTAAGAAATATTAGAGAAAAAATATGAAGTGATGCCACACAATGTTGATTTCATAAACATAAAATGCAATAATCATTCCCTTAAAAAAAGTCTAACCCACATATACAAATCTTCACAAAAATAGATGCTGCGAGTTTTGAAAACATTTACTCCATTACTATCCAGTACAAATAATTTTTCCAAATGAATTGAAATACATTTCAATTTTTTGAATGCAACAGAACTTCATTAAGGCATAGCTTGTTGTTGCACAGATTCAGACATAAACAAGGAAAATCATGTCTCCTAAAATTGTTTTCATTAAAAAATAGTAGCAGAACCCAGTTTTCTTCCCTACTCACTTCCTCTGCAAAGGAGTTTTATAAGGAACTGCGGGCCATGACAAAAGAATTGCATGTCATTCTAATGCAATGGGAAGCCCTTGAAGGATTTAAGCAGGAGAAGACAATGGATGACACTGAGAAGTGGCAGCAGGGAGTGGGTGCAAGCCTCAAGTCCATCCGCCTTGCTGCTCTACACAGTGAAGGCCCCCTTCATAAACCCATTGTCACCCAAGGCGTTTTCCCAGTTTAGAGTCGGGCAGAAGAACTAACACCTATTGAGTGCTTGATGTGGAGACAATGTGTTAGGCTGTATCTCAGAGGACCTGTATGGGCAAAGCTGGACAAAGGGGCACATCTGCTGGGCACCTGTGGGGCACCTCCCTAAAAGTTGTCCTGAGACATCATTAGAATGAATTGGGACTAGGGCGTCAGTTAACTTGGGTCTCCGCCCCTAGCATCTTCCTAACTGGTGAAATGAAAATTGGGCCTCTCTCCCAACACTGCCCCAGACAATTGAATGGCGACTTCAAGAACAAATATTCAAAGGATATTAATTAGAAGAGGAGCAATACAGCATACCAGAGTAAAGTCCCTGCTCTATCATGTAGGACCTGTGTTGCTGGCAAAATCGTTGAACATCTCATGGCCTCAGTTTCCTCATTTATAAAGTAGTGCTTATCACACGGGTCTGTTATGAGGATTAAATGAGCATGTAGGTAGATGACAACTGTTAAGTAGCAGATCTATAGCTGCAATGAACCCAGAATATGCAGCATAAAATGCCCCCTTAACTCCACAGTCAGGTTAGGAAAAGGTGGAGAGAGGGACCCTGCCCATCACAGAGGGCTCCA